CTAGATAAAAAGGCACATCATTACATGGAGAGTTTTTAAATTATTCCATCCCAGTTCTGACTCAAACTGAAACTCAGAGTATCATCTATTAATTTACACGAGTTGGTTTCCACTCCTGAACCACTGACTGTTTAATTCACACACATTTACACTAAAAAAAAATGCAGGCTGTTTGCCTGTCTTCTCACTATGGCGTCTGCTACCAGATAAAATCAGTAAGGAACATCTTCTATTGCTCATCGCTTATGAAATAAGTCTGATAATGCCCAGACATTTAGTCAGTGAGAAGTTGCACCAGCATTCACAGTATTATGTATGTGTAGATTCGCAGTCATACGGTTCGTGTAGTCTTGAGAGGCTGAAAAAAGAAGGCAGCTGGACTACTTTAGGTCTGGAGTTCAATATGCAGTTGGTGGAGAGTCTCAGGTATTTAACCTGTGGTGTGGGTTGTCCCTTTTGGGGGATGGTGATGGGAAAAAGAACCACAAAACCTAAAAATTCCATGTCTCAACCAAGGCATGTCATCATACTGAGCTGGTCAGAAAGTTAAAAGCTGTGTAGCAAAGGGTTATATTGAATACACTAAATGAACAAAGAGACAGCTGTTAAGTATCCTATTTATCAATGAAGTTAACAGAAATGGCATATTCATAAATGGTATAAACCAGTTTTCTTTTTAATATACATATCTTTTAATAAAGTGCATTTTGATGTTTCACTGGGTAACCATGAGGCTTTAGCATTTGTGCTAACACCACACAGACATAAGTCCTGTCATGCTTCTCATCTTGAACACAGATAGGTGTACTGCTAATATGCTATAATGATTAGATTAAGATCAGATGCTAAAAAAAAACACAACACTTATGTCCACTACTACACAGGTTTCCTGTTCCTATACGTGGGAAGGCAAGCTAATCAGAGACTATAAGATCAGTATTCCCCTTGAAACAAAACGAAAGCTGGGCACTGAGACTAAACCACATTACAAGATACCTTCATGGCTCATTGGCGTTTATGCTGGGGAAGTGAAATCATTATAACCAATAAGCTGTGTAATGGATTCCTTCCCAGCAGTCAGTCTGCCTGCCTGACTTCTTAATTGTCACTGTATGTGTGTCAGTACGTGAGTGTGAGCTGTACTTTATATGTAAGTGCAAGGTGATTGTGGTCCTGGACCAGGGGATCACCTCAGGATGGTGCACGGATTAGAGAAGCTGCCCCTCAACCCACGGAAGCAGGGATTTAACTTTCTGTGTGTGAGAGCAAGCTTCCGACGCGCTGAAATGCCCTTGAGCAATACACCGAGTTATTACCTGTTCTGAAAAAAGGAGTCTGGCCTCTGACAGAAGATGGTGAAATAAAAAATTCCCCGCAGCTAAGCAGTTGTTGAGTCAGAAGGAAATGAGGGTCAGCGCTGACACAGTGAGTGGATTGTTTGTGTAGTAGACTGACGAAACATTGGACTCGCTTTCTGATCTGTTGGTATATTATTCATCAAAACGATGTCAATAAAAACAAGACTAGAATATTAATTGACTGACGGATAATGAAAATATTTTAGAGTTTCAGCTGTGGGTGTAGAAATACAATGCACGATACAGTACAGTTGGGACGCTTTATAAAGTTTAAATAAAAACAATATGGAATGATTTGCAACCCCATATATTATTCACACAGAAAACACACCAAACTGGTAAACTGAGAAAATGTACCATGTGGGATAAAACCCCAACATCTGGAGGAAGGTTTTGCATCTAATTAGGTTAACTGGCAACAGGTCAGTAACATGATTGTGTATAAAAAGAGCATCTTAGAGAGGCAGAATTTCTCAGAAGTAAAAATGAGCAGATGTTTTGCAAAAATCTGCATCTATAAATTGTGGAACAATTCTGTGATCTTTGGACTCCCACGGAGCACTGAATTACAAACAGGCACGATTGTATCATGGAAATCACTGCATGGGCTCAGAAACACTTCCAGAAACCATTGTCTACAAACATAGTTCACTGTGCCATCCACGATTTTAGGCTAAAGTTTTGTCACGCAAAGAAGAAACCATAAATGAACATGAACCAGAAACAACTTCTATGGGACAAAACTAAATTAAAATGGATTGAGGCAAACTGGAAATTTTAATGTCTTTTTGGGGAAAAAAAATGGATGTAATGTCCTCTAGACTAAAATGGAGAGGGAACATCCAGCTTGATGCCTCAAAAGCCTGCATCTCTGATGGTATGGGGGGTACATTAGTGGAACTGGCAGCCTGTACATCACGGTGTATGAAAGGTGTATAAGCAGATTAGAGCAACACAAGCGCCCATTGACTTTTTCAAGGAAAGCCTTGCATATTTCAGCAAGACAATGCTGAATGACACATGTCTCTATTATAAGATCATGGCTACATAGTGGAACTGTCCAGGAGCTGAATTGGCCCTCCTGGAGTCCAGACATTTCACCCGTTGAAAACATTTGGACTATCGTGAAACAAACAACACAAAAAAGATGACCCAGGACTCGAGTATCGAGAATTCCATATCAGACAGGAATGGGATAAGAGTCCTCTCCCAAAAATCCAGCAACTGGTCTCAGTTCCCATATGTTTCCAGGCTGTAATTAAAAGAATGGAGGATGCTACACAGTGCTAAACTTTTTTTAATATTAAAATATAGGTTTATTATTTCCCAAAAATTGCATTTGTTTTGGGTTTGGGGTGCCTGTCTGCACCCTACAGCTGTTAGTCTGCATTAGTAAATGTCTGGATGTGACCGCGATGGCAGTCAGAAGAGGCACTGGCTCCTGAAAGTACCTTTTCTCTGCCAGGCCAGGCTGTTTAATCAAGTTTCCCGCATCTGCCAGCTGTGTCCACACTGCAAACAGCCACTCTGTCCCACTGGAGAGTTGCAGCATCCAGCTGGGGTTGGGGGAGGCCAGTTAGCATTGGGAGATTAGCCCAAGCTGCTGTTGGCCAGACAGAAGAGGTTGAATTTCTGTGTTTGTTTGAGAGACAAACAGAGATTGAGAGATTACAAGAGACACAGAGGTCAGCTGCCGGGCGGTATGAGGCAGAGAAGCCTGGTAGTGAGTGAGTGTGTGTATGTGTGTGTGTATATGTGTGTGTGTGAACACAAGCACATTTAAATGTGTACTTTGCTCAAGTAGTTTGTGTGTGCAAGCCTGTGGTTTTGCGCTCTTGCTGCTCAAGTGTCCAGCTGGCAGAAGGGAGATAGCAGGAGCCTTGAAAATGGTGACGGAGCGGTAAACAGACACACAAACAGTCTATCAGTCCTAATGAGGAAAACTGCTGTGCCTAAAAGGATTGTATGCATGTGTGCACGCAGGTTATGCTCGCACCGGCTGACTCATGGTCATACATCATAACAGACAAACATACACAAGAGGACAAATGCATGTAGACATACACGTACACACGAGCAGAAACCCAGAGATGTGAGAATTGGGGCACATACGGTCTAATAAGAGAGCAACGTGTGATACACACACTCTTGGGTCATGGGCCAACTTTAAAGGTGTTAGCAAATTTAGGCCAGAGCAGCTGGATCCCGCTAAAATGGACCAGCCCCATCAACCCCATCCCCCACCCCCTCTGTGCCTGGTGCCCTGAATACAATGGCTGGGCTGGCTGCTTTTGGTGAGCATGGTTTTCCCAGTCAGTCAAATTGAAATAAATGAACTGCCAGCCCTGACGGCAGGGTAATTGTTCATATGGAAATTGGATTACCATCGTCACACCAGCCCTCCTTTACAACTTGTGAAACAATTTTACTCCGAGCATGGGACAAGACTTTTTGCATGTCAAAAAAGGAAGTGGTGGGGGGAATGGAAGACATGCAGAGAAAGAGTTCTCCACACTCTCCCGCTTCATGTTTCATCTTTTAACAATGCTTCTGTTCTGCCTGTGGTTTCCTTGGTGGTGGCAGGAAAATAAAGGACAAGGATCCACCCCTCAGTTCCAGTTCCTTGTCATGGCTCTCAACCTGGGTTGTTGTATTTCCTTGGGCTCACTTTATCATGCTTTTTCAGCATGCTACATGCTGTTAGAGACATGGTAAGGTTTGAATCAGAGCATTAACCCCACGTTCACCTCTCTTTACCCGGGGTCGACTTCTCTGGGGACAGGCTGCTAATTTAATCGTAGTTCACTTTTATCAGTGTATAACAGTGAAAGTGGTTTCAATGGTTTCACATCAGTGTCAGAGCTGTCAAAGGCAGCTCTCCAGTAAAGAAAGTGCTGAATATGAATGATCGCAGTGTGGGGTGATATCCTATTAGATTTTCTGGGTAGGGTGTCTGTTTCTTTATATATTATATCAGTTCCCTTTCTGTATCTATTTTAATAAGGACGAGGGGACTCATGCCGCTTCAAAACTTGCCGGGTCAGCAGTTATGTAACCGTTTGTGCATCTGATCTAATCTAATCATCAGAGACATTTCTCCAGAATTTTAATTCTGCTATCTCCTTCCTGATCTTTTGCTCCCTTACCACGACACACTTGCAGACTTCCTCCTTAGGATTGGCCAAGAGGCGTGTGGACTGCCATGCTGGGTTTTAGTGCCCCTGTGTCAAAGAAACACAGCATGGCAGTTTGAAGAGAAGAGTGTCTTTGTGTGGTCTGAGCAGGATTACTTCGTCAGCACTTCAAGCTGAGCTGGTTTCATGTATTGGGGCTTGCACATGTATCTCTAAGCCTGTGGATTTGTGTGTGTGTGCATGTGTGTGTGTGTGTGTGTGTAGGGGCACACACCTTCCATTTTTCAATTTAATATCTTTCATTTTTTTTACTGTTGAAAGCTGCTTCTCCTGTCCAGACATGGCCTACCTTATGGAGGAAGGGTGGAAGAAATGCTTCTGTATTTGTCAATAAAAGGTGTGTGTTTGCGCATGTGTGAAATGATAAGCAAGGAAACAAAAAAGGCACACCTATGTGCTACAGGCAAGCCTGTGCATGCCATACCTCAACAGTTTAGCTGTCCTACTTCGCTCCTCTCAAACCAAAGGAGTACATTTGAATTGGAGACTACATATCAGAGCGGTGTAGCACATCGTGTTCGTATGGCTCATTCAACTCTGAGCTGAATCTTCAGTTTGGTGTCGTTATGGTGAGGTGAGTAGTCAACTTAGCTTAAACAAGTACTGTTTAGGAAATGCGGTTTATTGACAACACTACTGATATAGTTTGTCTGAGGAGAACAAGACAGTTTTCACAGGTCTTTATGCCAGTTAATATTGTAAGGACTTGACAACACAACTTACAGATACTGTTGAGCCTTAAAATGTTCAGAGCGTTTAGGTATTTGAGGTTTGTGCATCTCATTTATAACAAATAACAAAATGTGTACTTCCTACTTTCTTGTGTACTTCCACAATGGAAAAAATATTAGTTGCACTGCTCCTTTAGTTTTCTGTTGTTGCCTAGTTTCATTTTCACTTAGTTTTACATACCGAGTTTTAGAAATTGCTCTCTGGAGATCTTCCCCAAGACCTACTGGTAGCTCATATTTTCACAGCATTTGCATTAAAATTACTACATTTGTGCTACAATGCCATTCTTTTTTAGATCAGAGGGTGGATAACTGCAGCATTTTTCTTTATAATGTGTTAAAATTCAAGAACAACACAAATCAGCAAATCCAAAAGAATGAAAGCTGAATACTAAAACTGAACATTATAACCTCCTGAATGATTTATTCATGAAGAATTTTCAAGCACCGCTGTAACAGACAGCATTAGTTTTAACTAGGTGCAAACTACCTGTTAAACTGTTGAGTGACAGTGAGGTGACTACCCTGTGGTGGGACTGAATGAATTTTTCATCTCAAGGTTTCTACAAGCTTTGTAAATATATGCATAGTTAAGAAGAATGATACAGTTTTACATGTTTAAAGTAAATACAACCTGCTATAAACAGTCATGAAATAAGTGCACCCCATGGTTCAGTAGCTTTTAGAAAAGACTTTAGCAGGAATGACCCAAAGTATTTTCTGTATGACTCACATCACTATGAAGGAATCTTTGCCCACTAGTCTTCTAAAAGTAGAGAAGCTTCTAAAACGTTGCTTCAGTTGTGGGCATTCATTTATGCACATTTATGCACAGCTCTCTTAAGGTCCCAACGCAGCAATCAGGTTTTCGTGATTTCATTTTTTTCTTTTTCAGCCATTCTGTTATAAATTTGCTGTTTCAGCCAAACTTTACCTGTCAGAAAAATAGCCGAGACACAACACAACGCTCTAGACTGTGTCATTATTTATTCTTGTTAAATAAATAACACATTATAATATGTTTTGTAGTTAACCTGAAGCTGTACTTACATAATTATAAAAACTGCTAAAGACCAGAATTGGCCCATTTAAGCATTCTTGTGAAGAGTTAAAGAAGTTCTAAAGCTCAAAGATGCCAAAGATTTTTTTCTTTCCGTAACCACAAACAATCACGTGAAAAGGAATGAGGTGAAATGCCTAATTTAAGGTCAATTCAGTGCTGGCTTCAGGCTGTTTGAATTTGAAAATTGACTTTCACCAGATCATATTTTTCAGATGTGCCAGCTTCATTAGTGCATGATGTGTTTCATTATTATTTATTCCAGGCCATTGGAGGCTTCATTAGCTGCAGGCTGATGCAGCACGCAGCCTCTAAATTTAGCAGGCTTTTATTTATTCAGAATAGCCGCGTGTTGGATGATATGCCCAGTTGTCATGTTCTCTCACAGCAGACATGTTGAAAAAAAGAGGTGGGTTGGTCTGGGGAGAAATGGGCCTCATTCCACCTGTGCCACCCCCACCAGGCGGCTGTATCTGCTCAGCTCTTTGAAGCCTCTTTAATTCCAGCGTTAAGGATTAAGCCCATGAAAAAAAAGGATAAAAAGTGACAGAGTGACAGAAGGAGACATCTTAGGAGAGAACAGGCTCTTTTGAAATATGTTAAGAAATTCGTTTGCCCTGACCCACAATGCAACATCTGAGGGAAATTTGTGTGACACATTTTTTTGTCTGATCAGGGACTGGCCATAGGATTTGCATGAATAGGAAAAGCACCCTTTGAAGTTGCAGTTGTAAGTGATTCTGGAGTTTTCTAAAACCTAAATGAGTGTCCAGAGATGATTGTCCTTGAATTTGTGGTCTGAGAAAGTTTTATTGGGAGTTAAAAGAAATCAAGTATTTTTTTTTTGTCACAGATACTACTGACATAATCCACTTTTTTTCTCAGGGTAAATTGATAGAAAAGGGGATATTACAGTTTTTAGTGAAAGACACAGAGTCATCTAGCTACACCATGTCTGTAGACAATCCATTAAAAAGTGGGAATTGTACATTGTGGCAGTATACAAATAGCTGTTGCACACCTTTCATTCTGTAGGTGTGCAGATATGCAGTAGGTGTAATTGTATGTACAGGAGTGTGCTGACAAAGTGTTTTTGACAGGTATGTTCTTAAGCAGAAAAAATGCACATTCAAGGTCATGTAGCTTGTTAGACTACCTGAATCTGTCTACTCAAAACATAATAATAGTCAGATGGCACCTTTATATGAGAAAATTAGTATACCAACTTACATACTACATACAATGTCACCCTAAATTTGCTCAGAGTAAAGTTTTTGTTTACAGATCACTGAGCCCTGGCTCACAGAGCTGCTGATTTCATTTTTTTCTTTAATACCATTTTTCCTTTTAGTTTTTCTCTGTGGACATTTTTGCAGTTTGCCACCTCACTTTGTCAGTGAAAGTTGTCTCTGTTTTGCTTTTGATGTCAACATTTTGAGGCTGTGAGGCTGTTTTGCAACTCGTGCAGTTTCTGTGAAGCTTCCCTGAAAACTCAAGCACAAACGTTATTGTCTTGCCGCTTAAAGCTGACGCGGGCTTGTAATTGCCGATGGATATGTCCTTTGAAATTGAAGTTGTGTTACTTTAGAGCTGAAATAATAGTTTACATAATATACCCTTTATTTTGTCCACTCTGTACTGTGCATGTAAACTCAAGATTTCTTTTCTGTTTTTTTTGGTCTTTTCCTCTCAGTTAAATCTTGGCATAACACTTACCGCCCCTCCTTCTTAATTAAAGCTGTAAAA